GTTCGCACCAGTTGACCATCATTTTAGAATTCCCCGGTGTTGTGCTGTGTCCCAGCGCGTCGTTTTCCCCAGTGTGTTCTTCTCGTAGCGTCTGTCCCTGTGTCGTCGTATTCGTCAGCATTTTCGCACTCATCATTCCAGCATACACATCATATCATATTCATGGCATTGTCTGCATTAGTCTTGTTTGGTCCATAACATTGCATATCGCCACATATAAGGGCAAAATTTTCGGTTATCTATATTTAAATCCCTCCACCATGATTCCTCGAGTCTCCGCCACTCGAATCACCCGGTGAAGTTATTTAAATAGGGGCAACTGTAATACCCCAAATTTTGCCCTAAGATTTGTCGTCGCATTTCATTGCATTTTTATTGCATTTAATCAATTACTAACAAATTTGTGTAGTCGTTAGACTTTTTGCAGGTAAATATCATATGGCATGCATTTTTTTTCTAAAAAGTAAAAATGGCACAATTGGCAGGAGGACATGTGTAAGGAGTTATGAGTGTGAGAGGTTGAGAGTTCGAATCTCACCTTTGTCACTTTTTTTTGTTTTTTATTATTCTTACTCTAAATTTTTCTATCTTTCATTAAAAAAATAACAAAAATAGTTTTTTATTATTATTTAATTATTATTTTCGTATTTTAATTAAATCATTTTTTAAAATATTATTTTTTTCACTTTTTTCTAAATTATTCATAAAAATATCCAAAAAATCAAAAAAATAAAAAATATTGAAAAAAATTTTGTTCTTTTTATAATATTTTTGATTTTAGGAATCAATAGGATTATTAGTTTTTATTTTAAGTTTATTTTAATTATTTTAAATTATTTAAATTTTATTTTTTCTTAACTAATTATTTAGTTTGGGCTTTAAAATGGGCTTTAGGGACATTATTGACAATTTGGTGTTAACCCTAATTTGTTCCCTATATATACATGTGTTGCCTTGTTGGAAAAAAGGGGAGAATGAAAAAAACCTAAGAGGAGTGACACTACAAGAAAAACGATGGATTACGACGGTTATTTTGGCAGGTTACGACGGTTAAAACCACCATCAATTACATTCTACGACGGTTGTAGTACCGTCGCAGAAACGTGTGTCCCCAGGCTGTTTAGCGACGGTTGAAAAAACCGTCACACACAACCGTCGTTATATTTCACGACGGGTTTGAACTGACCTAAACTGGAGATGGCGACGGTTAATGACCGTCGTTACTATCCTTTTGATTTTTATTTTCATTGTTGATTGTGACGGTTTAAAACTGTCGTGAACTCTATTTCACGACTGGTTGGAACTGACATAAATTGGAAATGACAACAGTTAAATACTGTCGTGAATATCCTTTTGATTTTTGTTACCGTTGTTGATTGTGACGGTTTAAAACTGTCGTGAATGTGATATCTTGAAAGTTCATTATTAATTTGTATTAATTGTATTATATTATTTTATAATATATTCTTTTATTTAAATTATTATCTACTAAAATAGTTATATTATTTTTTCTTTAAATTATTTATACAATAATATTTTTATTTATAATTTTTTTAATAATTTTTTTCTATCGCTTTTTAACGTAGTAAAATTAATTCCAAAACTTAATATCAAATAAACATTATAATATCGAAAAACCGTGAGCTTCATAATCATATAAAATGAAAGTTCCATAATCATGTTTTGTAATACAAAAATCCGAAAACATATCAAATCATGATCTTATAACAATAAGTATCATTGTGCCAAAAATGAATAAGAAGGTTCATAATCTAGAAAGTATGTCATTATGGAATTCGGTAGCTAGACTCAGATGAACGTCTACCATCAGTAGGTGATTCCAATCCCTGGAAAAAAATTGTATTAAAATAATATTCTTTAAAATAATACTCTGAAGCTTTAACTTTAAATTCATCAAAATAATATACCTGTCTTCCAGTAGAATTTTGCATTTGCATTAAGACTTCAATTTCTTCTTTCATAGCATTGTCTCTTTGCTTTAAGAATGTGATTGCCTCCATCAATTCATCAATTTTTGAATTTTTTTCTTTAAGTGCAATAATTTCTTGCTGCATTTCCTTTATTTTTGAATTTTCTGCAGAAGAAGATGCCGATCTTGTAGATCTATTAATATGAGATGGCGTAACTCCAAGTCCCATACTACGAACATATCCATGTTGTTCTTTTCCAAATACTTTCTGAAATGCCTCATTTTCAGACACAGAATCCTTAATTGCAGCTTGTAATTTTTCCTGCACATGAAAAAGAGTAAATTGAGCAAGCAAACTTAACTTAACTTTTTAATCTAACTAATAAAATAAATTCATACTTCTTAAGGGGAAACAAACAATGATTATAAGCAAAAACTGATAAATTGGTATTGATGAAAAAGATGTTTAGTAACTTCATAGCTATAATTTCTTTTGGAGTTATAACTATAATTTTTTTTGGAGTTATAACTATAATTTTTTTTGGAGTTATAACTATAATTTTTTTTCAAAGATTATATATAACTTCATAGCTTTCTTTGTCTTGAATTCTGTTGGTATTTTTTTTCAGGTGTGCATTTGATGGTCTCCGCTATGGGGTTGCATTTATAGGGTAAGTAATATGTTATAATGCACGCTTTTTATTTTTAATGAGTACATCAACACCTAAGGTACATTTGGTGTTAGATGTTGGAACTCTTGCACAATTAAACAAATGTTCCATCATATATAAAACGATATATGACATCATAAGTTAAAGCCATGCTAATCAATTCCAGTATGATTATATAAAGTGATGCCAGATAAGTTATGCTTTAGTGAAAATATATTTTACCAACTATTCTCATCTAAGGCACACAAGTATGTAACTAGTAGAATTATATGTTTTCACATCATATATAAAACGTAATTTTGTCTTAATTTTATATTTTATTTCTATTTGTCTGAATAATTAGTTGATTTTATAAAGAGCACAATCTATTGTTACAAGACTAATTAATTAACTCAAATAATCACAATTCTCAATCTAATTTAATCAGTTTTCAGACAGGTTCTCCCCATCTTTAAGAGATGCCAAAAGGTTTGATTTTTTCTCATACCTTAAGGAGACTAACAAATATTTAAAAAGAATTAACTTGTACTTACATTATTATTGTATGCATCTTCGCTGACAAAAGACCCGTCAGACTTTTTATGAGAAACTGCATACATTTCTCCTCTACTATATGTTCGTCCATCTCTCGATTCCTACAAATAAGAAAATATATTAATTATTTTTACCATCAGTAATACATTCAAATCTATATAAATTTAGACATACCAACTCATGTTTCTTCCTTGCAAGCGACTTAGATCCGAGTGTATGTGGAGTCTTCAATTTTGCTCTATTTTGGGCATTTTTTTGAGCTATTTTCTACATAGTTAATAATTAAAAACATGCGTTATAGATAGGGATAACATACAAAACAGATACATCTAACAAATAAAAGCATTAATGTTACCTGTGTTTTTTCTTTCCGCCTATATTGAACAAAAACAGCCCAATCATTTTCCAGAATGCCTCTGCATATTGGATAATTTTGAAGATTTTCCTCCAAAGTGAGATCCCATTTATAAAATTTGCGAAACAATTGATGTCGTCCATCCTTCCATTTCTTTGCAACAGAAGCAAGTATGAATTCTTTGTCACGCCCATCATCAACAAGAAAGTGGAGCTAACCATAAAAATAAAAATTAGTTAACAAAGCAAATAATAATCACCTTGAAATTAATTTAAAAAATATGTAATTGTTTATTAATGATACCTTTATCTTTGAATCATAAAACTTTGTTTTTGTATCCGCTGGAATATCCTTCCAACTCTCGAACATTATGGGAAAGTCTTTAAACATTCTAATAATTATACCCAAATACCCTGCTAACAAACCAGAAGCTGGTCCTATTGCACAATGATCCTTATCAAATTCAAGTATTATCCATGTTCCATCAGACTTTGATTTTGCAACCAAGTCTTTCACACATAAACGTGTATTTGAAACATAACCTTCCTCATCTATCACATAAACAAGTAAACAAATTAATGTCATAACTTAACTATGTAAAAAAAATTAAATTATTTACAAATACTTTAACCTTAAATTACTTACTAATGACATTTACATCCCAATACACAGATTTAGCCACTTTTACGACATCTTCAGTCACATCTTCTACCACAACATCTTCAGCCTCATCTCCTACCACAACATCTTCAGCCTCATCTCCTACCAAGTCATCTCCAGGCTCATCTCCTACCACAACATCTTCATCCTCATCTTCTACCACAACATCTTTTGTAGTTTGGATTGGCAAATGCGTTATTGTAGTTTCAATTGGCAGAGGGGTAATTTTAGTTTGGATTGGCGGAAGATTTATTGTAGTTTTGATTGGCGGATGGATTATTGATGATTTGCACATTGCAGCTGAACGTAGGCGCTTCTTGTTTACTTCAAGCTCTCCAGGTTGTACAAACCTCGGACGACCCTTCACAGGCTAAATAAAATACATCAGTGAATATCAATCAACAATTAATACAATTAATTTTTATAGACTAGTATTGAGAATTTATTACTAACCGGTGATGGTTTGGAAGAAGACGAAGATGTTTTGTGAAGGGATTGAGAGAGCTTTGGAAGATTGAGAGCCTCTAGCTTTTTCTTATTCTCTGCAATCCTTTTGAGGCGAATTTCCTCATATGATGAAATCATTGTCTCACAAAAGGCTTCAACTGCAAGTATATGTATTAAAAAGACAATACACTAATAATAGTAAACATCAAAATTTTATATTAGTGACTATAAATTTAATAAACATAACGCAAACACAATAAATTAAAAGAATAATTTATGCAATAAAATATAGAATAGTAATGTCATCTCACGCATTAATTATGGATAAACAACAAAAAAACATAAAGTAATAATGTTAATTATAGCAACAAACTAAATTTCTTATCAATAAAAAAACTATATGTTAATTATTGTTATCATTTGCTGATGAAGTTCCAATATCATCATTCGAAAAAATTTGTTCCAAATTTTGTGATGGATATGGCTCAATGGGTGACATAATTTCATCATTTCCACCCATGTCATACAAGTCTCTTGGCTTCAAATGAACAGGTATGCTCCACCCTTGTTCATTCTCATCATCCACATAAAAAACCATCTGAGCTTCTGACGCTTGAATGTACGGCTCATTATCTTCATGTTCCCCAGAATGTAGTAGTTTTGTAAAGTTTATAGAAGTAAAACCCAACTTATCTATCTTAATGCCTCTTGGTTTTGTGGTATTAGCCCATTCACATTTAAACATGGGCACTGTGAAGCCATCGTAGGAAAGCACAATAATGTCTACCAATCTTCCATAGTAAGGGACCCCTCCAAATCTCATTTGGGTATCACTATTGCTTGAATAACTTCGCGTCCCAAACAAGCCAAAAACGCCACTATTTTGAGTTTTTAAAAGATTATCTCGTTCCAATGTTCGAAATTTGAATCCATTGACATTGAACGCAGTAAATCTTTTAACTTTATCAAAAGGGCCATAAGCAAGGCTAATGAGAACATCTTTATCTGGTCCATGAATGTTGTCAAGATTGTTGCAAATCTATACACGATACAACATCTAATTAGTCTTGTTATTATTAAAATCCAATTCAATTACAACATCTATTTTTGTACAAAAACTCACTCGATTGCGGAACCAGTGAGCAAATTCTCTATGAACCTTCTTATCTATCTCAGCAACACTTCTTTGACTGCGCTTCAGTTGATTCTGAGTAATACTTCGGAACTGCCTATTTGGTTATTTGATATTAGATGTAAAAAAAAGTATTAATAATGCAAATGAAACTACTTAAATGGCATAAACCTACTTACTTTAGATAGTCGTCAACTATTGGACAATTCGTTAAAATGTGTCTATGAGCCTGCAACTTTTCAATTGGTGTTAGGGTGTAATAAGAAGATCCACCCACGGGTTTTCCAAATATAGGAAATAATTCGGCTACACGTGATCCTGTTTGGATATCACCAATAGGGTCATCATCTACACGTCCAGGTTGATTCCATCTAGTTTCAATATTTTCTAGATATCTTGAACAAAATGTAAGAATCTCTTCAAAACGGTATCCTTCTGCAATAGACCCTTCTGGATTTGCCTTATTACGTACATGCGATTTAAGTTTTCCCAAGTATCTATTATTGAACCACAATACTATCGGTTAAAAAAATCTTTCTACTTTATTAGTTAGTAACAATAAAATAAAATCACATAGTTTACCTTTCAACAGGATACATCCATCGATAATGAACAGGACCTCCAAGTTTAACTTCTTCAACAAGGTGAACAACCAAGTGAACCATAACCGTGAAGAACGAGGGAGGAAATAACATTTCCATGTGGCATAAAGTAAGGACAATTTGGTTTTGCAATTTTTCCAATTCTTCAATTTTCAATACCTTGGCACATAATTGTCTAAAGAATGAGCACAACTCAATCAAAACTGCTGAAATCTCATGAGGTAATGTGTTGCGAATGGCTAATGGTAGGAGTTGTTCCATTAATATATGACAATCATGACTCTTCATCATTCCATTCACCTTGAGATTTACTAAATCAATGCATCTAGAAATGTTGCTCGAATAACCATCAGGCACCCTAATATTCCTTAAAGTTGTTAAAAAATTCCTTTTATCTTTACCCATTAAAGTAAAGGCTGCCGGAGAAATTCTACCATTTTCATCAGGCCAAAGATCAGGTCTTATACCCATGTTTTGAAGGTCATCTCTAGCTTTAGAATTGTCTTTACTTTTTTGCCTATCATTTAGTAAAGTAAATAGGACATTATCACACACATTTTTCTCAATATGCATTGGATCAAGGTTATGGCGCAGAAGATTATCCTTCCAATACGGAAGTTCAAAAAATATGCTCTTTTTTCTCCATTGTTGAGGATGACCTAGTGTAGGATCACACTGTGTACTATCACCTTCTATAGGTTGTCCCTCAAATGTTCTTTTTAGTGATTTTTCTTTCACTGACTTTTTACCAAAGATGACTTCAATATCTTTAACCTGTTCAAAAACTTCATGTCCAGATAATGTTCTCGGTGGACTCCGTATTTCTTGTTCACCATTAAAGCGGATCTTGTTCAATCTAAACCTGTGTCTCCGGTCAAGGAAACGACGATGACCCATAAAACACCATTTACGGCTAGCTTTAAGACGAAGGGGTGTAGTTTGAAAGTTACACGATGGGCAAGCAAGCCCTGTGTATGTGTTCCACCCAGAAAGTGCGCCCATACCTGGAAAGTCACTAATCGTCCACATCAAATTTGCATGCAACTTGAACATCTCTTTCTTGAAAGAATCGTATGTATCCACGCCATTTTCCCATAACTCTTTCAGCTCTTTGACTAAGGGTTGTAAGTAGACATCAATATTATTTCCTGGTGCTTCTTTTCCAGGAATTATCATCGACATTATAAATGATGTTTGTTTCATGCAAACCCATGGAGGAGTGTTATATGGAATGAGAACAACTGGCCAAATACTATTGTTTGTACTCATCACACCAAAAGGATTAAAACCATCACTAGCCAATGCAAGACGCACATTTCGCGGATCTGATGAAAACCAAGTATGTGTCAAGTCAAATTTCTTCCAAGCTTCTGAATCTCTAGGATGCCTTAACATTCCATCGTTGTTAGCATCTGTTGCGTGCCATCTCATATCCTCTGCCGTCTTTGATGACAAAAATAATCTCTGTAATCGAGGTTTTAATGGAAAATAACGAAGAACCTTGGCAGGAATTTTTTTCTTTTTCTTGTTAACAAAGACCGCTTCATTTGTTTTCCATTTTGACGTGTTGCAATTTTTGCAAGTCTCCCTTTCTTCATCTTCTCCCCAATAAAGCATACAACCGTTTGGACATGCAGGTATCTTTACATAATTCAAACCAAGTTTTGTGATTGATTTCTTGGCTTCATGGAACGAACCTGGAATGTTTGCATATTCAAATGCATCTTTAATTAACTCTAAAATCATTGTCATTGCCTTCTCACTCAATCCACATAAACACTTTATATGGTACAACTTAACCAAAAACGATAGTCTTGAATATTGTCTACACCCTTCATACAAAGGTTGTTCTCCTTCTCTAGTCAATTCATAGTACTCTTTGGCTTCGTTTCTTTCCTGAGTTGCACTTAGCATCACATAATCTTCTTGGCCAATCTCTAAATTTGACGCGGATGGTATTTCATTAGCATGATTCATATCAACTCCAAATGCATCATTGATCATGTTATGAATAGGATCTTCGAAAATGATAGTATCTTCAACCATATTTTGAGTAGTACTAGGGGAGATAGTACTAGGTACAACAAAGGACTCTCCATGATGAATCCACATGGTGTATCCCTGCGGAAATGGTGACCACATTAAGTGGTCGAACATGTCACTCCTATTCTTTGATTTTTTGAAACCGCAGTGTTTGCAAGGGCATATTACTACGTCATTTTCTTTTGCACCTTTAAATGCAAAATCAATAAATTCTTTTATCCCTTGCTGATATGCAATCGATGACTGTGGCTTAGTAATCCATGACTTATCCATTTCTTCAAAAAATAGACATAGATAGATACAAGAATAAAGTTCAAAGCAAATCCTATAAAAAAAACAAACACTCTAAATACAAATATTTACAGCAATAGAATCAGATGTCATTAAAAGACAAAAATCACACTCTAGTCTCATAATCACAAACTAACCAAAATGAACCCAAGACATACATTTAATTTTAAACAGGGTATCAATGTAAGTACATTAATAAATTATTTTTTACATCATTGTCAACAAATAAATTATAATCTGCAAAAACAATTTAATAAGTTACATTAACAGGCAGACCTTTGGCAAAACCACTGACTTCTAAGCCTTATAAAGCTTTTGCCAATTGAGCTAGCACTTAAAAATAATGTAGTACTAAATTATTAATATTATTTTTTACATCATTGTCAACAAATAAATTATAATCTGCAAAAACAATTTAATAAGTTACATTAACAGGATATTATTTCTATCATATCCTATTCCCTAATTTACCTTCTTCCAAAATATCTATAAATTTAAAAGGACTCTTCATGGATCTTTCTAGACACTGAATAATTTTGGAATACCAACAATGCCTTAAGCTTTGTCTTAGAATTCACGTGCTTGTTAAGCATTCTAGTCGTTGCTTCTTTTTTGAGTCCATTTGAGATAGTGGTGAGGTTACATTCATAAGTGTTTGTTCTTTTTGATTTATTGTTATATACAATAGTTGTACTGGTAAGTTCAGTAAGCAATGTACGATGAATGTTAGCTATTTTAATCATAGGTATAACATCTTCTAAAATTATTTATATAAAGCTAATTACTAATAATATTTGCTTACTTGTAACCCTTGCAGAGGCTCAGTAACAAAGTCAATCACGATTGCCTGGCAAAGTTATTTGAAGACGACCCAGTAATTCTTTTCTTTGTTGTTCTACATGTTTAAAAGAAACTTTTTGGAAGTTGATTGTTTTGGAAATTGTTTTCTCATCATTAATCTATATTTCAGGCAGGTGAACGTAGTTTACTGAAGTTGAATTGCAATGCAGAATCAAAAGTAATGCTCTGTCAATTATTTCTATTGCAATAATTAGATATTCCAAGCGGCTGAAGCACCAATAGAATGGGAAGAGCACTACGTAGGGACTGAAGCACCAATAGAATGGGAAGAGCACTACGTAAGCACTACGTAGTTTACTGAAGTTGAATTGCAATGCAGAATCAAAAGTAATGCTCTGTCAATTATTTCTATTGCAATAATTAGATATTCCAAGCGGCTGAAGCACCAATAGAATGGGAAGTGCACTACGTAGGGACTGAAGCACCAATAGAATGGGAAGAGCACTACGTAAGCACTACGTAGTTTACTGAAGTTGAATTGCAATGCAGAATCAAAAGTAATGCTCTGTCAATTATTTCTATATGCCAATGTTCGACCTTGCTACAGCCTTTCTGGATACAAAACTCGATATGATGATGTTGACCTCATCACAATCCGTGAAAATACAGAAGGCGAGTATAGTGGACTTGAACATCAGGTAAATTTCATTTCACAGCAATACATGTCATATACCATTATCCAAATCATGATTAATATAATTTGCTTAGCATTTTTGGATGATAGTGTTTCGAAGGTTAATGGAAGTGAGAATTCGGCAACTACATCTAAAGGTGGAAGTAGTAGCTTTTCTTTTAGGTCAACAAGATATTTGCAGGGTGTTGCTAGTCCAATGAAGAGATCAAGTTCATACAATGGAAAGTTTCTTCTGTCTTGGTATAGTCGCAGTCAGAAAAAGCCAAATGCTATTCTGAGAAGCTTTTAATTTTATTGTGTTATTGTTATGAGATTTTATGCTAACTTCACAACTGAAGTATTTTACATGTAACTCAGTAACTCTCAACAAGCTGAGAGGCTGAGACTTTTAAAGTTTTATGTATGCATGAAAAAAACTATGTGCTGCATCAAGTGTATAATAGCAAAACAAGAAAGTTACAAATAAATAATGTTCAATTTTTTGTTCATATTCTTCCATATATGAAGAAGATTTATTCATCACAGGATACTGTGGTGTTCGATATTTAGTTTTTGTGATTAACCAATCATCCAATTATTTTGATCAAGTTTCTCAATTTAGGTCCAATTTCTTCATTGTATTGAAGAAGGGGTGATAGTATTAGTACCGTCATACAATGATGCAATAAAACAAAACCTTGCCAAACATTTGGATCCAACCCAAATATGTTTACAAAAGGATGGATTTCATTGACAGATGACATCCCATAACCACTCACTTCCTCTGGACCATTAGACCAAATCAAAATTGAAAATGAGAACACAAAGTTTGCAAAAAATTCACTTTAGTTTAGAGGATTTGAGTTGACTTATACTTGCTTCAAGTGCTTTTAGGTTGTGTGGACTTGAACATCAGGTAAATTTCATTTCACAGCAATACATGTCATATACCATTATCCAAATCATGATTAATATAATTTGCTTAGCATTTTTGGATTATAGGTTGTGAGGGGTGTAGTAGAAAGAAAAGCTACTACTTCCACCTTTGGACTATCTTAAATAAATTGCTTTGAAGAGCCATCATCCTATTGCCATGAGGGATGTTTGTAACAGAATCTATCAGTAATTGCAGAATACGAATTGCCGGGAGGAAACCATGAAGAATAATTCCCAAATTCTGTGTTATTTGTTCTGGTGCCATGAACAGAACTAGAAAATGGGATAGTACTTTTCATCTGCAGAGTACGAGTGGGGACTTCAGTGCTAACTTCATCAAGGCCTGGCCCATTATTTAAATCGAAGTCTCTTGAGACACTTCCACCATTAGATAACCACTGGACAATGAAGGTTGTTTACTTGGTAAAGGAATATCCATTTTAACCATAGAGAAAGATCCAATTTCAGGAGTCTCGTCCAACCTGTTTAGATCAAGATCAAATCCCACATAGCTGCGGTCATGAGCACCAGACTCTAAGGAACCCCGATAAGCAACGTCCTCAAAACTGATTTCATCTGCCACATTTAAATCAAAATCTAAGGGAGCGCGGTCTGGTTTGACTGAAGTGGCGTCAACCGATGGAATATCAACAATATTTGATGGCATCTCAGTATTTTTCCTAGGTTCAGCTGGCCGGAATGCACTTGTAGCAGCTGACCCTTTCCATCCAAGTTCCCCCTTACTTCGCAATGGATTTTCTGGCGTAACAACCGGTCCTTTGGCAGCAGAAGCCACTATAATTGAAGCATGGAAGGCTCCAGAGAGGGACGGAATCGGAAAAGACAAAGGGCAAGGAGCATGAACTGCAGATGAACTGATAGGTTCTTCTGGTCTAACAATATCACACTAGCCTACACCCTCAACAGGGTATCCCTCATTTAAATCAAAGTCCAGTTTTACATTCACATCAGATCCACAAGCAAATGGGGATGGATTAGCATTGCCCACATCCAACTTCGCAGCAACTACAGATTTCTTTAACTTCGCAGCAACTACAGACTTCTTTCTTTCAAGATTAGAATCACATGTTTTCAGATCTTCGTTCTCTTTTACAGGAATTGGTAAATCTGGGTGAGCTAATGAACCAGAGCCAATAACCTCTTTTCTACCAAAATTCTCTGCAGAAAGTTCATTATCATCATCTGCAACTGCTGAATCCAGATCCATTTGTTTTTCATCAGGCTCAATATCACACCACATGAATTGGCAGTATTTTGTTTTGTGGAGCTTACTACTTAATGCTCCAGGGTGAAAAATATACAGGGAGTTTGGGATAACCAAGGAAGGCGTTATTTCAACACTGTGATGTAGTTGAATTCAGTGATTCTCACTTTAGCATTTTTCTATCTCAACACTAATTTGGCCTACTATGAACAATTATATCTTTCTCAAAAAAATTCTATAGAAGATCTAGTCTAAAAAAACAATATTTCGATTTAAATTGCAAGTATATTATGAAGCCTGTTTTGAAATATAAGCAATGTATCAAAAATATAGTTTAAACTCCTAAACAAGGAAAGGACTCAATCAAACAACAAGCACAATAGAGAAAGCAACCGCCGCAGCTAGACATGATTACCGAAAACAAAATCGATCCTGACATCAACTCAGGACAAAACCATTGAATTAACAGCACACAAGATTTCAAATAAAGGTCCTATACTAGAATTTGCTACCGCAACCCTTCAGCATCGAGAAACTCGATCCGACACGTCCTTCTTACACAAATTTAACTCTCAAATAGAGAAATTTAACACATGATGCTTAAAATCCAAACCAATTAAATACAAAATTCAGAGTAAAATCCAAACCAGGATATGATTCAGGGTTTGAGAAGACAAACCTGTAAAGATTCGAATTGACGGTGGTGGCTTTGACGGTAAATCGCAATGACAGCGTCACGGTTGAGAAAAAGGTCAGTTTTCCTCTTTCTCCAAGAACGCGAGCGGCAAATTCTTAAAAAGAATGAAAAATACATGAAAAGAATTTGCGGGAAGATGAAATTTTGAGGACGACGGTTGGATTTCACCGTCGCTGATGAAATTTTCACAATTCTGAACTAACGACGGTACGTCTTCCCAGTCATAATACAATTTTATTTTAATAAATTTTTTTTCTCTATTTTGATTGAATTATTTTGTTTATGTGATAATTTATAATATTATGATTATGAGTATATATAGTTTAATTTTATATTTAATATTTATTATAAAAATTGTTTTTAAAATTTTGATATATAGTTTAATTTTAATACTTTAATTTTGGATATAATATCTTGAATTTAATTTTTATTATAAAAATTGTTTTTAAAATTAAAGTTTTATTTTGAGTATATATAATATTTTCATTTTTATGTATTTTAAGTTTAATTTATTACTATAATTATATTTTATAAATGATTTTAGTCATTTATTTATTTAAAATACATAGATTTATTTAGATCCGCCATTGGTTATAGATTGTATTACTGGGTTTAAGGGGCAACAGTTGTTCTACCGTCGGCACATAAAATTTAGGGCGGAAATTTAGACAGTCATGAACTTATTTGTAGGACGGCTTAATGATAACCGTCGTAATATTTAATAATTTTTTAAAAATATAAGGACGGTAGGTGTATACTGTCGTGAAACGCGTCTCTATATTAGAGTTACGACAGTTATCAAGTAACTGTCGCAATTTTTGTGTCGTAAAACTCTAATTTTCTTGTAGTGTGAGTGTCGTTTGCCGTTATTTAGTTTTCTTCTTCATCCATTACTATTGTTTCTTTTTCTTCATCGTTTACCGTTATTTCTTTTCCTTCATCTATTACTGTTGTTCCTTTTTCTTCATCTTTTACCGTTATTTCTTTTTCTTCATCTATTACCGTTATTTCTTTTTCTTTATCTATTACTGTTACGTTTATATATATATAATTTTTAAATTGTTAGAGTTTATATATATAAGATTAATTTTTGATCGAATTATGTCGATACGATGTTTGCACATTTGTGTGCATGACGCGTGACATTTGTGTTAGTTCGATCTGGTTGCGATGATCGCATTTTTGTGTGAGCAATAATACTATTTTTTGCTTAATTTCTTTTTCTTTGCGATAAATTTTGTTTCGTCCGATTTAGATCTGGTTGTGATGAGCGCATTTCTGCGTTAGCAACATTGTTGGGTTATTTGGCACATTTAAAATTCATTATTGCTTTATTATTATTATTATTATTATTATTATTATTATTAGTATTATTATTATTATCATTATTTATTATTATTATTATCATTATTATCATTATTATTACCATTATTATTATTATTGTTATCATTAATTTATTAAAACTTGTTATAATATAAAAATCTGTTTTTTAAAATAAATCACATTAACATCTTTTCCAAATTAATATGAAAACCTATTATTTTTAAGAAAAACTTTTTTTTAGATAAATTTAAAATAATAACTAAAATCTTTTTTTTTAAAATAATAACTAGAACCGTTATTTATTTTATTTTATTATTGTTCAATTCAAATTTCATTATCATATTGTATCTGCTCCTCTCATGTAACCTCGCGAACTTAACAATCGCTCTTTAAATTCTGCCTTTAAATTTCTGCTTGCATGGTTTAAATTATGACATTATCTCTCTGTTTGCATGATTCAATTATCTCACGCGTTTACCATTATTTCTGTCACATTGCACACATCCGAAGGTTAGGTCTAACTGTTTGGCCGCCGCGCCAATAGTCCGTAAAACTTCACACATTCAATTTCAAATCCTCAAAACTACAAACTACAAACCCTAATTTTCACAAATGCCTCGCCGCAGGCAAAATTACAATTTTACCCCTAGCATTAGGTCAAAGAGCCGTCGCGCTCAGTTTAGGGTTTCCCGCCGTGGAATCCCTAATTTAACCCTAATTACAACTTAACAATTCAACATAGAGATTCGGAGTTTCTACACTCCACGTAAGCGTGTCCTTAAGACATGTTTATTCCCCGTGAGACCTTGACCACAGTCAAGAAGTCTCTAACCTCCCTTTTGAGGGGAACTACGATTACTCTGATTCCACTCCCGTAAGGATACGTAGGCACAAGATGCGATGTCTTGCCGAGTAAACTTAGAATTAACCCCTTAGGTCTCTTTTCTCACTTTTAATCCTTTGTACATACACCATAAGCAAATAAATAAAGCAAATAGTAAACATCTGAACAAAAGGTTCCTGTAGAGTACTACAGAAGTTTAGGGTGCTAATACCTTCCCTAAATTTAACCAACCCCCGAACCCTAGATCTTTCCCCGCATTGTGTTTACGATGCAAAATAGGTTTTC